CTTTTATATCATGAAGGATAGCAACCTGAAATGCTAAAGAATCACTCCCATCAATAATCTGATAGAAAACAGCTACCAAGATCTAAACACATGACAATGTCTCTCTTTCAATCTGTAAATTGTTAGAAAATACATTCCATTTAACCTGAACCATTCTACTAAGAAACTTCAAAACTGAATCAAGACATAGAATAAGCTATTTTTAACATGGAATTGTCTGTTTAATATAAACCTTATGCAATCTGTTTAATATGGAATCTTATGCAATTATCTATCTATCTATCTATCTATCTATCTATCTATCTATCTATCTATCTATCTATCTATCTATCATCTGCACAGCTTTGTGAAAGGAAGGAAATATAGATCCCCTTTAAATTCTGACATGATAGATTTGAGCTAATCAGTTGCAAAAAGCATAATCAAGATACTGCAAACAGATCTAGGAGCACTTGCAACAATATATACAGAAGAATAGAAACGATAACTCTCAAGTTTTATTGGTAAAAAGCTAATTTAAAAATAAATGTTGTGAAAGGAATAAGAATGCAGACATTTTAGTATATCTTTAAATGCAGACATTCTAGTATGTGATGGTGGAAGTATCTAAATAAATAATAGTGATCCAACTTTGTTTTAAATGTGGAATGTTATAAATTGGATGCTTTACATTTCATTATATATATTCAACATTCTGTGTAGGTAATTTGTTATTCTAGCTACATGAAATATGGCAAGTGGAATTGAAAATGTAAATACTATAATCCTACAAAGCAGTTTAAATTGTTCCTAATGTATGCACATATATTATGTTCGTCACATAAGTACCAATCATGCAAAAAAACCCATAATTTCAAATGAATTAGGCAAGATTCTTTTAAGTGTAATTTAACCGGATATTTTACAAGTTTATTTATTAAGTAGCTGTTCACTTCTGAAGGTTGCAAGGGAACTTGTTGAAATTGTTTAACATAAAGATGCTGAGAGCACAATAAGGAAAACATTAAATATTTCAGTTTTGCAAGTTCAAGATGTGAAGAGAATACAGGGGGAAAAAAAATCAACATGTTTTGTTAATAGGGGCAATGCCAAAAATGGTTATATATGATTTCAATTTCTGTACTTTAGTCTTTTATAATATATACAATGCCTGAGACAACAGGTAATTGATAGAATTAATGATAATAGATGTTATTCATAGAAGCACACAATGTAGATTGTCATTTTTTAAACTTCTTAAACAAGGCAGTGCCATGAGAGAACAAAACATAATTATCTGTGCATCTATTCATGATTATGCATGCATAAATATCAATATTAAATTTATGGAATTAAAGACACCAGTACACTTATCAGAACACTGATCAAGGATCATTACCAAAGCTATTCCCCTCCCCTTTATCATTGATTGCTTCAGCCATGCTGGTTACCAAGTTAAAAAAAAAAAGTTTGCTGTATACCATGTACATTACTGTTCAGTTAGTAGTTTATATTGCAATAGCTTCATAAATAAAGAGATATTAAGAGCCAACCATCACAAGCCCAGGTGTCGGCTGCCTCCTTGCTTTTAGAACTTGCGGTAAACTGACATTTGACTATCATGCAATATCCACTGGTGGACCTATTAATTCTTCTTTTATTACTGTGTACATTTACTTACAGAACAGTAATACTGGCGATGATGAAAGGGAGGCATTTTCTCTTCCTGAATTATTTTGCTCATAGCAATGGGCAGCATTAGAAAACTGAGAAGGAGGGAATCACTGTGTTTGGAGAATAACCTAAGTTTTCATCCTACAATAAGGGTGGATGACATGACCCTTTAGATGTTGTTGGACATCAACAATTCACTCAGTACTGGCCACCCTGGCTACTGATATGCTTCTCATCTCTGCCTAGAAGTACTCGAATATTCCATCTCTGTAGGAAAAAAATGGCAATGAATTAAGAATCCAGGTTCGAATTAAGAGCCATTCTGACACAGAAAGAGCCTTTATTTCTGCTTTCCCTTTTATTTACATATCACAATACCATAGATCTCTAATTAGGAATTATTAGTAATTACTTATACTTCTCTGTACCATTATTAAAAGTATTATATATTGTAATTTTAATTGATTTTAACTGTTTTGTAAACCTCCCAGAGTAGTTTCAACGAGATGGGCGGTGACAAATT